ATCCTTTTCCTGATCCTCTATACAACTCTTGTACAGAGTTTGGTGTAGGAGAGCCCTGGACAGTCACTCAGGCACCGTCTGAGGAGTGCTGGGTCACCACAAGGAGGAATCTGTCACCTGCCCAGGCCTGGCTCATCAAGCTGCTTCTGTTGAGGGCTGGCAGGGTCCCCACCCCCACCCCCACCTCACCACCCCGCAGCCTTGTCTTCATCCAGCAGGGATGGGGAGGGTGGTTCCCCCCGGAGCTGGAGGACTCTTGGTGGGCAGAGTCTTTAGTTTGGCAGAAGATAAAAGCCAGTCTGGAGTCACACACCACAGTGGTGGCTCCCTGGGACCCTGCCTTCCCAGCTGGACTCTTAGGGTGGGTGGCAGTGGTGGGAGGGAGTGGTCAGGAGTGAACCCCCTTTGACAATGTGCAGGGATGAAGTTGGCAAAGAGGCTGCCAGCCTGGGTGGGAGCTTATAGGACTGAAGGGCTCACGGGGTGCCCTTTGCTAAAGTCCAGAAGGTGACCTAAGAAGGAAACTCCGATTCTACGAATGCTTAACCGGCACCAACCACTGCCAAGGGGAAAGAGGCCGTGAGTCTCTTCGGCCCCTCCCTGGACATGGGAACGCGCTGACCTTTCCGGAGAGCTGGGAAGCCTGGGCAGGCACGAGACTCTTAGAACTTCAGAGTTGCCATCTGTTATTGGAGGAGGGACGCGGGTTTGGAAGTTTGGGAATGAGCTTCGATCTTTGGCTGGGCCCTGGTGGCATCCAGGGACCGAGAGACAGTGTGTGCATGGCGAGGGCCTGATAGCTCCTCGTCCTGCCTGCCCGCTACGCGACTCCTGGCGCTGAGCTTCCCTAACTCCCGAGAACAGCCAGCACCGCGCGGAGGGTGACCAAGTTTGGAAGCAGCGCACGGTGCCAGGGGCCCTGGCCTGGGGCCGCCCGCCCTCTCTTGGGGAGGAAGAGCAACCCTCCCCAGTCCGCCTGCTGTCAGCGGGATGCCCAGATGGGTCTGACCCTGAGCGGCCGGCCGAGGAAGAGGTCTGGGCTGTGACCCTGACCCCTCCCCACGCGGGGGCCAAGTGCACGCAAGGAAGCCGCAACTCCGTGTGTGTGTGTGTGTGTGTGTGTGTGTGTGTGTGTGTGTGTGTGTGTTGCTTTGTTGTTTTTTTTTCTCCTCCTATGTGTGGGTTTTTTTCTTGGAGCGGTTTCATAGGAATTCCTGTAATAAAGACTTCGTGTTCTCTTGGTGCTCTGATGTGGCCAGCTGCGTAGGCTGGACCCCCCCACCCCTTATCCGCTCTTCTCCCTTGGGGACAGGGGTTGGCCTCTGGAGATCTGTGTCGCGTCTGCAGCCCACCTGCTTCACCTGCC